TTAGTATCAATTTTAATATCACAACAAACATGAATATGTAACACATTCAACCAAATTGGTACTTTTGACATTATTTATATTAACACACAAACACATAAAATATACAATATGCACAAGCAAAAAAAAAGCAAAGCCGCAATAAAGCAAATATTTATATTTTGATAAGCATGATCAGAAATTTGATGACCAAGACAGAGAAAAGGGAAAATAGAGAGCTTCCTCTGAATACTGGCAGTTCAACACAAGCTTGTGTTTTTGCTTGGTCTCTTGGGTATGGCCGTCAAAACAAAACATCCCATGGATTTGTTCCCATGGCTACACCAAATATAGTTAATTCATGTCAGTACAATGGACTTCTCTTAGAGTCCTTTAAAAAAACAAAAACAAATAATTGACTTAATAGTTTCTGTCAGGTGTTGAAAGAGTAGCTCTGTTCCAAAACCTAATGAGATACCTACAACCTACATACCTACAACATCTAATGAATGATAAATTGATTTATATTGAAGATTTATTTCCACCATCTCGAATTTAAAGGATCTCTTTCTTTTTTTGTCTCAACAGAGTGAACCAAGCCATTCAAAGTATTTTTCTGGCTCTGGCGAGATAATAGATCCATTACCCAGCTCCACAGCAACAAAAAGAGCCATTCTTCAGAAGATGTAAGTACTGTTCTGATATACCTTGCGGTGATCCATCTACATCTTCATGTAACCTTTCCTTATTCCTCCAGTGCCAGGCAGGCTAAAGTCCAACCCCAACAACGCCAAGATGATCAAGCGGACAAAGCTGAGAAGGGGTCTTCTGAAGCATGTCATCCTGTCACCATATCGTCTAGCAGCTTTCTCACGGGTGAGTCATTGGAGGAAGGGAAAGCCGTGTTGTCATCTAAATTAAGTAACAGTAAAGAGATCACCGAACCACATCTTGACGCTACCGGTCCGAAGAGACGACCACGGACCCCAAGTAGCTCAGGAGAAGGCGCTGACCGCCAAAAGACAAAAAGATCTCGTTTTGGAGAGCCTGCAGCGTCAAGCAATTCCAACAATCCCTCTTCCGACGTTGCCGCTGCAGACTCCGTTTGCAGTCCCCAGCCTGAGATTTCACAGACTAACCAAAGCGGGCTGGCTGCAAGTTTGAGAGGCCTATCCGTCAAACCTGTATCCTCTGGCTCCTCTATTAGTTCCAGATCTGTTGCCAGAGAGGGAAGGAAGGGGGGTGAGCCCAGAACATCCCGATTATGCCGGCTCAAGAAGTCCTGAGGGGCGCAGCGGCATAGAACGAGAGAGGATGTCTGACGCCACCACGATGGATGTTACAGTACACACTTCTACTGTAATACTGTCTGTCAGTGGCGGTTGCACAAGAGTTCACCACACACAGTCTTGCACATACAGTACTTCCCTTCTCCCTTTAAAGTAAAAAACACAAAACTGCTCAAACGCTTGAATTAGATTACCAAGAAGCTCTCAAATATTTGAATCGACTCCACTAGCAACAACTTAAAAGGAACTCAAGAAAACAGTAACTTCACTCTAAACAAAAACACAAATGCAGTTCGCGTTTTCGGCGTAAGATTTGTATTTCAGACTAGCGGGAGCCGTTGAGCACACTGTGGCTTCAAGCCCAAATCTCTGGCTCCATCCGTCTGAAATCTCCACTCTTCCAGCTTCAGCTGAGCACATGATTGATTTTGCTGTGTTCTCACATACACCGCGCTCCTTAAGCGATCAGGGGTTTTCACCGTTGGAGCCGACTGCCGTCTCCCTGCGGTTATTATTTGTAAATGTGTTATTGCTTTTCGTAACAGCTAAAAGTCTGCTGCGGGATGACTGACAACGTTATGGAACGCTGTAGTGGCGCTCGCGTCCGATATTTGGCTAATCACGGGTGCAGTCGACATTGATTTAGTGCGTGATGGCAGGATGATTATATGTATGGACATAAATTCGTTGAGTCACATGCTTTATTTTCCAGCCGTGCTTACAAATCACTCAATGTTTATGTATTTAGTATAAAAACGTTATCAGAATATACAAACATTGTGCAGCAATAATCCCATAACGTGGCAGTCGGAATGCTTCTGGTTACAACATATTTCACTGTATATTCTGATGTTATGTCATGAAATTCGAATCGTTAAAAGATAGCAAACCATTTGTTCTTAATCAAACGTTTGCATTGAGATACTTGTAAATGTCCAAGGAATACCTTAAAAACTGAATGCAATCTACTGTACTGCCTTACAATATAACTCATGTTTTACTATTACTTAACCATTAATAATAAAGGAATTCTGATTTCTTGACTTTTAATTATCTAGTGCTCAGATACTGTAACGTTAGAGATCAACCTTTAGCAAATTGAAGCTTAAAAGTTAACGGTTAAAGTTAAAGGTTAACTGAAGTAGCAACAGATCTTTTCCATATTGTGACTTACATTCAAGTGTAACAGATTACTGAAAAAGAAAAATTTTACGTAGGTTGGGAAAAATTTAGGTCTGTTTATTGGTTGTTAATTAGATTTTGAGATGGGTTGGGTTTTAAGTCGACTAAATGCTTGGAGAAATCCAGCATATATCACCAAGGATAAAATTGAGTTATGACATTTTGATTAAGGCCAGGATAATAACATGCATTTACAAATGAGAATTTTCAGTTTGTCAATTTAAAAAGTACAATTTTAACCATAAAAGAAAATGTCATCAACCCATTCCAAACCCGTTCAACTTCCTTTCTTCTGTGGAACATCAAAAGGAAATTCTGGAGGCTGTGCTGAGCACTCATTTTGAGGTAATTGCAATGAATGGAGATGGATGCTTTCAAGCTTCAGAAATGACAGAGCGCAATAAAATAATCATAAAAGTTACTTGTGCATTATATCCAAAGTGTTCAGAAGTTATAAAAAGCCTTTGTGTGAGAAACAGACTGAAGTTTAAGTTGTTTTTCACCAATGTTCCTCTGCTGCGACCAAATTGAGCAGCGAGTTTATCTCGAGTCTGATTCATAAATCATTCAGACAGGTTTTATGAACTGGATCAACTGAGTGATTGAAAAGATGTGACTCGCAAGAATGATTCGTTCACAAATTGGACTTATTTCACCAATTATAAGAAAATCTTGAGTGAATGTTCACTTAAATTTCTCACAAGCTATCACATGATTTAGAAGACTTTGAATATAGGGCATGAGTTGTATGAACCACTTTGATGATGTCTTTGTGTTTTTTTTCGCACTGTGAAACCTCCAGTCCTCATTCAATATGCATGGGAAACAGCTACCTTATCGAAATGCCTTTTTTGTGTACCACAGAAGAAAGAAAATCATATATGAATAAAACACCTTGAGGGTGAGTAAATGATGACAGAATTTACATGATACATGACTGGAAAACATTGGGAAACCCCTTTTTTCTTCTCATCACCATAAGCTTTGCCTCTTGCCCTGCAGTTATTTTACTGAATACCTCATTCATCATTTAGGGAGGGAAGTGCAGTCGCAGCGTCAATCTTCACATGGTACAGAGTACAATCAGACCCGCACGGCTGTACCACGAAAATACATTTAGACAGACCTTGTGCCTCACATATCATTACGTCAGCGTAAGAGAGGATTCAGCTCCTCCCAAAGCAGCACAAATCGAAAACAAACATTTAATTTTCCTTTTATACAAAATGTTTAATAAATATAACATTCAAAAAATATTGCCAGGAACAAACTAAAAAACAAATTTACAATAAGGTCAAATATGAACATTGAATATTGCCATGATCTACAAATGTGATAAGCTTGTCAGTTTGGTGTTTTAGAGAGCCTCGATATAAAAGATTAACGAAAAGAACACTACATGTGCACAGCAATAGAAATGGACTCCTGAAAGCAAGGCAGTCATCTACAGTGTTTCCATTGGCCCCCTACTGTTCAAGTATTCACAGCCTAGCTTATGACATACTGCAAACTGAAGCGGAAGAGAAATGATTTGTGTGAATCAGGTTTACCAACAAGCAACTAAAAGACTCATGTTCCCTTTTATTTTAGATATTTTTAATGATTTATTTTTTTCTTTTTCATCCGTGGCAAGCAATGTGTCTGCCACCAGGTATCCAAACAAAAAGCAGTCATGATGTTGACATTACCTGCACTGAGCAAGTAAGAGTTGGCAAAATACATACAATAGAAGTTTCAAATATTGAAATATCTGACATTGTATTAAAAAAAAAAAAAAAAAATCTCAGGCACACAAATGCCCATCTTGTTTTTTGAAAAAAAAAAAAAAATTAAGAATGCTTTTTCTCTCTGAAATTTTGGTATGTGAAACATCAAACAAATGTCGTCCGAACAAAGCTATAGGCTTACAAAGCTATCAAAACCTTCAAAACTAGACAGGACATATAAATAAAAAGGAATGATATTTTAAGGCTCTTGATTATTAAGTTAATAAATCAAATATACACAGTGATTAATTAAAAAAAAATATATACATATCTACACTAAATTGACACAATTCTTCATATTGGCAGCAGAAAGCTGACCGACCTATCCCGCCCCAAGAAAAGAAAAATAATAAATAATTTTTTTGCTTTTTTTTCCCCCCATTTTTCATACTCATTTCCGACAATTGCTGTGGTGCTTAGCTGTGAAGGAACTTTCAGTTCAGAACTAGAAATAAAACCAACTAGAGACAGTTTCCACACAGCCGCTGGATAAGGAAGAAACAACTACTTTAGCTGTGAGAGCATTGTCATTATGAACGAAAATAACACTTAAAACTATTTGCAAACTTTTCAGACTCACTAAGATACTCAAACGTATCCACAAAAATATAGACATTGGAAATGTGTAATTTTTTGTTTTCTTTACATTTTTTTTCTTTTACGAAGGAAAACACAGGATGCGAAACGCAGCATTTGGGTTTTCCAGCCGTCCACAGCAACTATTACAATTGCCAGTGTGAAGCCAGCTTGTCAAAACTTAAATTAACACAGGATTCTAGTGTGCAAGTGCAACAGGGGTTCGGTCGCACGGCAACACAGCTGCCTGCTATACGATATACTCCATCCTGTTTAAACTCTGTGCCGTCTCCAAGTCTCTGTTGTCCTGTTTGTTAGTCCAGTTTGGGTTTTTGTTGGGCGCGCGCTCCTCCCGCTCCACCAGCGTGTAGGCCGGCTGCTTGGTGAAGTGCGCTTTCTGCAGGTGTTTGTCCATCTCCTCTTCCTCCACCTCGGAGTTATGCGTCCTAATTTTGGCAATGATGGAGTTCTTCCCCTCGTAGTCTTTTATGGTCACGCCGTGGGCCGCGTGTTTCTCGATGGGGTTCTTGATTTGGTTGAGCTGCTCACGCACGTTATTGGTGGTATTGTCCTCTGTAGCTGAGGTAGTTGCATTGCTGTGGGTGTTCTGTTTCCGCCGGCGGTGAATGCACCACAGGAAGGCTGAGGTCAGGGCGAGGATCCAGAGCACGATGAAGATGGAGCTGAGCAGAGGAACCAGGTAGTCTGGGGACAGAAGAACCAGAGGGACAGTTAGTCAGTATTTGGGACAACGAGAAGACTGCAAGGGAAACTATTGAAATGTCTATTCACTGGTGAACATTTGTGCATTGGAAATGGGAAAACCTTGGAGTTTGAAAACAGAAGTGGTGTAGGAAAAAATAATCCACACTTTAATTCAACAGCAACATTTTCCTATTTTGGACAAGATATACACTGTTTATACCCGGTCCCCTGGCCCAATCTACAGAGGCTGGCTCACACGGTTTAAAGGTCTCTTAAGTTAGGAAGAGACTTAGCAGCTTGGCAGAAACATAGGACGCCATTTTTGATGAACAGCATGCAAGAGGGCCCTGATGTCTAATTGAAGTTCAATCCAACTGGCAGAGCTGATGTAACATTCCATGGCTTCAATGACTTAAAGCTTCTTTTGACAGTTAAACATTGCTCAAGCAAGACAGACCAAGGACAGACAGTTCAACACGACTGGCCCAGACTGTGGAAACCTTAATACTTTAATTTTTGACTACTTTTCAGCAAAGATGGACCCAATGTCCGGTGTGATGGAGAGCTGCTTACCAGTGTTGGGGCTTGGTGTCTGGTGAGCTCGTACGCCGGTGATGGCTTTGATGATGGTGCTGTTACCATTGTGCTTGCTCACCAAGTCGAATATTTGACCCGTAATATCTTTAATAGGATTCCTGTCCGACCTGGGCTCTTCTGTGGACTGCACAGGAAACGTAGACTCATAAATATCACAAAAAATGTACTTTTCTACAAATTCTGCCTTTCTTGAGATATTTTGAAGAATGTTTCAACTGTTTTGTCCATAAAATGGAAGTCATTTGGGTCCAAAACAACTCTGGAGGACTCCATTTACTTTCAACGTATGAACAAAAAAAAAAAAAATGCATTATCTTATCTTTTTTGTGTTCCACATAAGAATGGAAGTCATGCAGGTTTGAAATGACATTAGCGTGAGTAAATTACAAAAAAAATTTTCTTTAAATAAGTGGTGTCCACCTTCTCTTAATTAGAAACACCTGAACCAGCTGATCTTCTAGAGTACTAGAAACTTCCTGTCAGGTGTGTTGGAACAGGTTGGAACTAAAGGTGGCCCTCTAAAAACATCTTTAAATGCTATTTTAGACCCATTTAAACTTGTTGAAAAGCTGTACTTACAATGCTGATGTGAATCTCATTGCTGGCTGAAGAAGATGGCTCACAGGTGATGGACATAGCATACTCTTCCGTCAGGTTCTTCAGCATGTACCAGTGCCTCAGCTCATTACAAACATGCTCCACACTCAAGCCCTGTCGCAACAGAATGATCTATTACGAGTTTGTTCAAATGTAAGCGTTTTCCAACTAAATAATTAGCGCAATATGCATTTAAATCCCCAAAACTTCTTCTCGGTTTTTAGGTTTTTCTCCAATAACGGAGCAGACAGTGTGGGCAGTGCGAAAAGTCCAAAATGAAAGATTTAGTCAGTTGGGAGAAAGTTAAAAAATGAAACATAGTTTGCAAGGTTCTCCCCCTGTCAAATATTAATCCTATACACTTCTCCCTAGTTTCTGTAGCCCATTAGTAGAAGAACCACATGTTTTTTATGCTTGTCACTGTCCTTTGTTGCACTCGCTTGTCTCTCGTTCAGCAATTCGGGCTGGCTGGTGGGCAGCCGCCAGCGGTGTTTCTCAACAATGTCTGCCTAAGTATTAAACCGTTATGGGATATTAGCTCAGGAATGTCTTGGTTCGGAAAGGGATACTGAGCCAGAGTTTATTGTACAAAATGTATTTCTTGCGCTTTCATTCATCTGAAGAAAAAGTGTTTGGATATGACAACAAAGCTTGTGAGAATCCAACCAGCATGGAAAACTTCACCCATGAGGAACGTTGTCTCCTAGATGAAGAGAACCTGATCTTTCACGCCCCACTGCGCTCTCAGTTCTCCACCGAATTAGGGAAGGGTGGAGGAGACGTTTGGAGAAGGGGGAAAACGGCTCAAAAGCTCATAATTCAATCGCTCTCCTCTGAAAGTATGACTCACTTGAGGCATGTTCTCCTTGTTAAAGGTGAACGTGATGTTGGCACAGCTGTCGTCCTGGTAAGAGAAGCTGGCGTGGCATTTGGAGGGTGGAGGGGGTGCAGGGGGCCAACACTCTCGGAGACTAGGACAGGGTTTGACAAAGCAGTGCTCTTCTTTGATGGGAACACAGGATTGGCCTGCAGGACACCCACTTCTGGCCTTTCCTGCCCAACATGATTTTGGTCCACACCACATCTGAAGAACAAAAGAGCCAAAAAATAGGCATTTTTGATTGCATAATTAAGAGAAGTATTAGTAAATGCCTCAAGAATACGATGCAGCGGCAGCGAAGTTACCATGGTGCAATGAATCTTTCCATTTTGACACTGGCAAACGTTGCAGTCTTCCTCCCATTTGGCACCATCAGCAGTTACTTGTCCGTTAGCAATACAGGGTCTCCCAATGACTGAACGACATCAACAGAAGATTATGACATGGCAAGAAAGGAGTTGGTATGGTGTGATCTTCTTGAGTAAAAATTCAAGCATTTCCATTTCCATTTAGTGTGCATATTTTCTATCGGTTTCTTTTGTCACATTCATTGCAGCCCAAGTACATCAAATTGATGTGAACCCTCAAACTAAGGAGAATTTTTTGGCAACTTTGAAACTGTTAAGTCAACAATATCACTGCTTTGTAGGAAAGCAATGGTTTGGGAGATGCTAATGCAGGTCTTGATGTTCTTTTCAATAAGAAATAAGTGGTGTGTAGCCTGTTTGCACAAGCTTATATGACTCTTACCTTCTTGACACTCTGGTCCTGTTCTTCCAGGCGGACAAAGGCAGCGATAACCATTGATTTCATCTACGCAGGTAGAGCCAATTGCGCAGGGAGAAGACTGACACTCGTTTATATCTGAAGGAATGAAGAGAATCTGTTAGGAATCATGCTTTGAACTTTTCAAGTCCTAAAACATTCCTATCGCATGAATAGCAACAGGTATGGTCTTGTTTCCCAGTAAAAACATTGAAATATTGTTACAAATGAAATAGATTTACCTAATAATCAAGACTGCTTAAGATGTTTAAGGCTTGTTTTCCAAGAATATCTTGAATTAAACAAAAAACAAAACTCATGCCGTCTTGCTTATTGAGATAAATGTACCCAAAGAGATCATTTTGATTGAGGCAAGTTGAGAAAGTATGACCGAAGACCCTGTCCTGATGGACTATATCATCTTAGGCTCAGCTGACATTAATGTCATGAGCTCGTTTGCAGGTTTGGATGCATCAAACAGTAAAACCTGAGTTATGTCTCGTGTAGCCAGATGAAAGCTTTTCAAAGAGCAAATCGAGCTCTGTAATCAGTGCTGGATAACCAGGCTGATTGGCTTTCGGTCACTGCGAGTCAATTTCTCCCGAGGGGCCGTGAACATCAGTGCTGCAGAATGCGAGGACGCTGCTCGCTGGGCTGTTGGCATTCTGCCCAGAGGGCTGGCTAATTGGGTGGCTAGACCGTGCATTTTGCTCCAGCTCTGTTTGTTTTTGGAGAGTTGTGTTGCACATTTACAGGGCTCACAGCCAAGAGGATCAGGCGTCATCTAACACTCACTTATGCGGCAGTCTGGCCCGGCGAAACCCGGAGCGCACTCGCAACGGTACCAGTTTTCACCATCCACACACGTCCCGCTATTGTAGCTATGGAGAGAGAAAGACAGAAGGTCAGACACCGTTCGGTTCAGGCATCATTGCAGCATTACAAACGGGGTCCAAAAACAGCATTAGTCAAGCACCAAAGGAGAGTCAAAACTGGCATGTTGACATACTGTATAAGAGCTGTTGGCTGACAGTGCGCAAACTTTGAGTTTGGTCAACTAAAGTGGAAAAAGTAATAAATAAATAAATAATATTAAAAATAAAAATAGTTTGATATAAAATGAAATAAAATAAAAATATCATTAAATAAAATAACAATAAAAAGTAAAATAAAAATGAATACAAAAATCATAAAATAAAATGAATAAAGGAAAATAAAAATAAGCATAAAAGCAAATAACAAAAATAATATGAATACAATAGTCAAATAAAAAATGAATACAAACATAATATAAAATAATAAAATAATATAAAAAAAATATATATAAAATGACAAATGAATAAAATAACATGAATAAACAATATTACATAAAATAAAATAATATAAAAAGCAATATAAAGTAAAATACAAAAAATAAAATAAACATAATTTTATATATAGTAAATACAATTAAAAATACTAATGGAATCAACATATGAATTAAAATAAATAAATAAATAGATAAATAAATAAATACATAAAGAATACATAAATTAATAAAACTGGTTAAGGTATAACTTTATAAATTTGCTACAAAATTATTTTATATCAAAATATCCCAAATATCTCCAACTGTAATGTCAGACTCTCACTGATAAAGTGACAAAATGATTCAAATCAAAGACATACAAACTGTCTACTAATAAGAAACATCTGTTACAGCTTGCATGTCACAACAACTTTTACAACTATGCAAAAACCGGTAAATCCAATTATTATAAGTGCATTTTATCAGTTCACTGTTATCAGTGGCCCCTAATTCCAAATGACAAAATCCTTATCAAATGAACTCATGCTAATCTGTTTTGCTGGGATATGTTACTGTGAACTCAGAATCTTGCTTAGACAACTTCTCGAGCAGATGAATCCGATGTCAAAAGCACAATAGGCAGCGAGCTTAACGCACCCTTGGAATGACAGAAGCAATGGGAGTGCCTGTTTCCCAGCACTGAGAGAGTGTGAGAAAGTGCGGCACAGCTGTACGGGCCGGTTTACAGCGGCAGGCTGTGTGGTAAATGTTTTGCCAGGACTTACCATGGGTGTGGGTTGCAGTCGTTGGTATCTGAAAGAGAGAGAGGGAGAGAGAAGAGGGTTTGATTCACTTCACACCCATGTGAGCATATAAGAACGAACACAACAGTCGACATGTCAGAGCTTGTGTCGGAGTGCGCGTGCGACTGCGTGCTCGCGTGGGCGTCCAGTTTGGCAGAGTTGCTGATTGCTCGGTTACTAACTGACTCACTGTCTCCAGCTTTTCTTCTCTCTTCATTTTTAGGACTCCAGGTTTCTCCGTTCTCACAGAGCGAGAGGTGCACAACAATACATAAGAAAGGCACATCGAGGGGAAAAAAAAGAAAGAGAAGCGGTGGGCTTGAGAAAAGTGGGGGACGTCTGTCTCCACTTTCCCTCATTTAAGTTTTTTCCTTCATAGCTGGCAGCAGCCGACAATGTCCAGCCAGGGTGAGGTGGGTTTAGAGAAAGAATGGAAAAGAACGAGCAAGACAAAGCCAGGAAAATGGATACCTGCTTTATTCTCAGACTAAATGAGGGTTGAAAAATTAACTTTTATGAGTAAAACTATTCCCTCTTCCACTTTAAATCTACCTAGGAAGTTAGTACTGCGGTACTCACTCTCGGTGCAGGTGGATCCTTCCCAGCCTTCCTTGCAGACGCAGGTGAAGGAGTCGCCGTTGACCACACAGGTGCCTCCGTTCTCACATGGGTTGGGCAGACAGCTGCTGTTCTTGGCTGCAGAGGTGCCACAAGAGAGGTCAGAATGCTTTGAACTGAACAGAGCAACACGAGTGCAACCACAACAAGACTGCCACACTTAAAATGGACCGGCTACATCTTGAAGTATTACCAAGTACAACATTTCTCAAGACTCCATCCAACTAAATTTCCCATCAAAGAATTGGAGCCGACCGTACGCCAGATATGATATTTTCTGCATCAAAGAAATCTGCAAAAATGCTCGTCCCAAAATCTGATGGAGTTATTTTACAGATCGTGCTATTTGAGGCGAATTGCAGCCAATACATTGACAGAAAGAGAGAGAGATTTCAGTCTGTGAGCTAGAATGATTGAATGTGATCAGTGTTTTCCCCCTATTTTGCAGAGCAACTCCTTCTTAGTTTACATTTTAAACCATAAAACAGTTTCTGAATATTCAAGGGGCCATGGAAAATTTCAGTGATTAAAAAAAAGTGTTAAAAAGATAAATGGTTATAAAATGTTTGTATATGACTATATTTTATATAATTTATATTACATAATTTATATTTCACATTATTTCACAATTTACATAACCATTATTACTATTTAATTTAATGATTGGTTGGAAATACAGTGCTATAGCAATACATTTAAATGAAAATGTCTTCTTATAATGCAGATAATAGTTTCCAGATGAAATTGTAATATATTTTTGGCTTTAGTACAACAACAACAACAACAACAACATAAGTCAATTGTTTCAATTCCCCCACATTTTAGAAGGGGGGTACTTTGCAAAGTGATCAAATTTGGGGGTCCTTGGTATTATAAAGTTGTAAAACCCCTGAGCTTGAAATTTAGTGGGCATATTCTAGAAAGAATCAGTTTAAAAGGTTCTGAAGCACTCACAAAAATACTTGTAGCCAAATTATTTGCTGCACAGTTGTACTGTAGCTTGCAACTGCTTGCTCCAACATTGCACAGTGCATTTTCATGTTAAGTATGACTTTACAGCAAGAAGTGTGCTAAAGGGGTTTGTGGGAATATGATATTTTTGCAAGGGCTTGATTCACACGAGCTGTATCACATTCTAAGATAGAGCAAGTGAGTGGGCGTCACCAAAACTGACCTATGTTACATGTGGCTCCTTCCCAGCTAGGTGAGCACCTGCATTTGAAGATGTCCCCTTCATCATGGCATGTACCTCCATTATTGCATGTGGCTTCGTCACATTGACTATCACCTGAAATTACAGTTGATCCAATAGTATTTTATAACTCCATATGTACACGCTCACACAAAAACAAAAACTCGGCAAACTGGGTGGGTCATAAAAATAGTCTTTCTTACGGGAGTGGCAGGTTTTTCCCTTCCAGCCATTTCTACATTCGCAGTAGAAATCGTTCACCAGGTCTTGACATGCTCCCTTGTTCAGGCAGGGGTTCAAGCTGCAGTCATCGATGTCTGGAAAAAATGGGGAGAAAAGAATAAGAAAATGAGCTTAAAGAAGCACAAACATTTAACAAAAGCAGAGAAAAATCTATTCAAGTGAACATACTGATTTCGCAGTGAACTCCTTCCCAGCCGTCAGCACAAATGCACTGATAAACGTTCACCTTATCGATGCAAGTACCGCCATTGCGACATGGGTTACTCTCACAGTCGTTTATATCTGAAAAAAGACCGTAGACACCACAAAATTTAGGATCATCTACATAGATGATAAGGATGCACAATATATCAGTTGATTATCAGCCGATATGAATGATTTTGTTCATTGTGGTTGATATTGATTGGTTTTTGCAATTTTAATTTTTTCTGACATTAACATTTTCTGTACTTTTACACTAAGATTACCTTTGCTGTCATCTAAAGTGCACTTAAAGTTAATTTTCAAAAACACTAATAACTTAATAACACTGTTAAATGCAACCTTTAGCAAATCTCAGATTGATTAATCATTTATCAGACATAACATTATGATGCATAAATTCACACGGAGCATTTAAAACAACTGATTTTAGTTTTTAGTGTTTTAAACATAAAAATAAAAATGTATTTGGACAAAATAGTCTGGAATTTTAAAACCAGGCCGTAAAATGAAAATAACCGTAATATCGGTGCGTGCCTATAATCCGATAATAATGTTTAGTCTTACTCTCATGGCAGTAGGTGCCTCTGAATCCTTCCTGACACTCGCACGTAAACTGGCCTCCGGCCTGACTCCTGCAGCGTCCGTGAGGACCACAGACATTTGAGGAGATATATCGCAACCCTTCTGGCGTACTGTTGGATGCCACAGCAACAGTGCAGCTGTCAATCACTGTGAAAGTTTCAGAGAAAGAACGAAACCCAGCTGTTAAAACTCTGGGTTCATTGTGAAATAAAAGCTACACTAAACCCACATTAGCCATTCTTCCAGTTTATTTCAATATTTATGGGTTTCTAAGTTTTTACATCTACTTTTGCAGAAAGAGTGTATGAGGAGGCCATTTAATGCACATAAGCCCTGAAAGTTGAAAGAAACTTGATGGGCTTATCTAGCTGTGGGGTTTGCCCATCCTCACACACACACACACACACACACACACACACACACACACACACACACACACACACTTTTAAACATCCAAGGCAGAGAATCCCACCAAGTCATTACCACGAAGAACACACACAGAGCTGTTAAGAAACTGGCAAATGTTCAGGAGGATTTGGGAATGGAGAAAGTGTTTAGGAGACTGTGTGTGTATGTGAGCTGTGTGTCCAGGGAGGTTACTGTCAAATAGCTCACCATGGGCTGAAAAAGCCTCATGTAACAAAATATGAGTTCTTTTTCCTCATCTTTCCCCCTGAAGGTGGTGGGAGAGTCCCCGGGCCTGTAATCTAGTTTTAC